CCCCAAAACCCCAAAACCCCAAAACCCCATGTAATAGTATTTCCCAAAAAAAGAATGTTAGAGTTAAAGCATTTTAATATAAATTCTAATTAAAACTTTAATCCTTGCCATTCTTGAATTACTGCTATTAGATTCATTGTAGCTGACTGTTGAAAAATGAAGTTTATTCTTGTGTTGATGGAGTTGAATTGCCTTGCAGTCTTCTTTTAACAGTTACGATTCTTCTTGGCACTTTTATTCCAGCACTGCCTTATGAGGATTCATCAACCATTTCATTTTCATCACTGGGAACAGTTTATAGCTCAACTCTTCTAGTTTTTAATAATGCGTTAAGGTTATCTTTTTATTTTTAGCTGAGAGATGTCTCAATTGCTGCTGAGAGGAAAGAACTATTCGCACTATATGCTCTCTTAAATGACTGATTGAACTACTCGAATTCATCAATGTCATTAATTCTTGTAACCATCACATTTATCATGATTTATAAGTCATACTATATATTTGTCAAAGCATTTTATAACTTACCTCTTCTTGTTTAAAATCTGATTCATTTATATAGTCTTCCTCCTAGTCTCCAATTTCTGCTTTGAACTCGATATCACTCTACCCATTGTTAGTGTTTTGCTAAGTTAGTGGAATTCTAATCTTGGTCACAGAACTATTGTATAATTATGATCATGTTTACTTACAATATTGGTTTTGAGCCACCATCATCCATAAGCTCTTAATCCTGACTGTTTAACTTTTCCTCCTCTTCTTCATCTGACAGGATATTATCCACTAAAGCACTTTCCAGACTCTTCTTTTTCCTAAGTAAAGCTTTTTATTCCAAACGCTGTTGATGAATAAGGATGTTAACAAGTTCCCCAAGCATGAAGCCAAATTAATCCTAGATATCTTATGGCATGTTTGAATTAAATAGTAGATTGATTAGTGCCAATGCTAGAACTTTTCTTTCATAAGGTTATCTCATTTACCTCCAGGATTCAAATACACTTGTAAAGAAAGTTCTAATAAATCCTTATTACTAAAGATAAGTTAGAGTTATTTCAATATCCTGCAACATTGAAGAGAGGAAAACTTCAAGCAGTGATCTCTAAAATGTCTTAGACATAGGCTTGTCGTTAAGTCTTGACATTACAGTTGTAAGAATATCACATTTTGCTTATTTTATCAAATCTCCATCAAGATTCTATAGCATCATATGCAAAAGCATTACTCCTTCTAAATTATTACTAAGCATCATACTCTTTTCTTTCTTAAATATACTCTATTGCGCCATTTCAAACAGCAATCCCAAATTTTACTAATCTTATTCAAAGAATTCTTTTCCATAAATAATGTAATAATTAACTGCCTCTAAAAGATGCCCAAAAATACCTTTGTATTTACTTTGAAATTATGGTAAGTAAGGGAATATCTTTCTTAGAGCTGGTGATACATGCTTTGACTTTTTCATTAAAGAGCTAAGGCAGAATATGATGTCATCATCAAAGTCAATCAAAGAAGGCTTAAGCAAATACTCAAATAGAGGTAGCAGAGAATCTTCAATGATTTGCAAAAAATTAAGTATAAAGTATTGATGCTCTGCTATAAATCTAATTGTATTCCAGCATTTATTGATCCTTATATTTGCTTTTGTACTGACTTGCTTTATTGGATTTTTGGACTTTAAATTTAATGTCTTTTTCCCTGCTTTTTCTTCCTGCTGAATAAGTTCCTTTTGTATTCTATTGACTAATGATTGCATAAATGTAATAAGATTATCCTGAGTGAAGTTTGAGTAGTGGGCCTTAATAAAATCACTAAGGAAGTCAAAATAAGCATGCAGCATCAGATTGATGTTATAATTAGCTAATGTATCAATAATCCAGTCAAAGTTTTGCTATATTTTGAGCGTCAATACTCTTTCACTTGTCTATGTCACTAAAGTATCAAGTGCTTGTAGTGAAACTATCTTCTAGCCTTTAATTCCAAGTTAGCCAATCAAGAATTGCAGGATCTTTTCAAAATTTATTTCTTAAGTAGTCTGTGGTACGGTAAGCATAAGTTGATCCAGATAGAAAGCCAGGAATAAGCAGAATCTATTCTTGATTATAGGTGATTGTTAGTCAGACATAAATGTCTGCAAATGTTGTAAAACCAATTGATCAAGATTTCTCATCAGATCTTATCTCTTTATCAACGCATAGCTTATTATAGTCAAGGCCAAGAGACATACCTCCATAAATTCCTCTTCACTCTCAAATTTAAGCCTGAATTTAGTAATTATCTATTAAATATAATCTGTCTAGCCTCCTCCCTGCATGATATTTTAAATGACTTCTATGCAGAAATTAACAGTGAAGGTAAGCATTCCATCAACATGGTCAATGATACTCTCAAGAAGCTTTGCTGCCTAAGTCTTATATGTTTTGGATTTTTGCTTTTAGCATATATCAATGGAGTAATTAACGAATTCTTTGGGATTGTTTTCAATGTCATCTTTCTCCTTCTCAGATAATCTTAGCAAGGGCAGGATAACTTAAATGAGTAATTTAAAAGAGTTCTAAGTATAGAAGAATTAGAAGTCTCTCTCATTTGAGAAGGAAGCAATTATATCAATTCCATGAATGACCATTCCATTTATGTGACCGTTCTCTAGAATTGATTCAAGATTAGGATTCACTGCTAAACTGGTTAGTGTATTTGCAAGAACATGGACCATTTACTAAGCACATTAGACATATGGATTTATTGCAGAGTAAAGATTCTTTGGCTTCTTTTTAATGAGATAATTCCAAATGATTTTCAAGCACTATAGGGTTTTTAACTTGGTCTCATTTATTATCAAATCTAGATTATGATCTCCACTATTAGTAACGAGAGATCCTTCAGTCTCAAGCAAGATTTCCTGAGTTAGATTAATTGGAGGCACATAAAACTTGAGGATTGAATTAAATTATCTTGCATAATCATCTGATGCTGCGATGAACTTAATGCCAGCTTTGAACTTAAGCTTTTTGAACTTTTGAAGCATTTCAACATGAATCAATGCCCATGTTTTGACTATTTGGAGATTTTCAGAAATATTCAGATACTAAATGAGTGGTAACTGTGAAGGATCATTAATTAATTGCTACTAAATAAGCGAATTCTACTCCATTACTATCTTAATTGTTGCTATTAGAATCTAATTGATAAGTTTTCCCATCTGCTAGTGGATCATCTAGAACATCTATAAGATAAATTATTCATTCCCACAAGTCTTGAATAGAGCACTAATAATCATGAATAGCCCGCTGATGTCAAGAGTTGATTCAATTGTCAGATTGGTGAATGCATTGAAGCAGATCTCGTTAAAGAATTGCTAAACCAATTACTTCCCTACAATCGATATTACTTAAGATTCTCAAATTGATATACCTTAAGACCCTCTTGCAGTGTCTATATTAAGGACATTTTCTAAGGCAAGCTGGAGCTGCATCTTAATGGAGTTTTACACATTCTTGAGTGTTAATAATCTAATGAGATTCTCAGATACATATTAGAGCTCAGAGTTCTCAATAATTCTAGACTTAAGCATTTTCTTGATATAGTTCATGTAGTATACACCAGCTTGTAGCTTTATAGGATCTATAGTAATGAATTAAATATAATAGCAGTATGTGAAGTACTTTCTGCTGGTATCTATTAAGTGCTTATGATCTCACACACATCAGAAGTATGCATAATTATGTTATCACCTATTATTTGGAATCAGGTTAAAATGGTATTGAATACCTAAGTCATATAGCTCTGCTTCAACTTATTTTCTTTCTGAATTGGTGGTTTATGGTGCATAAACTTTGACTATTAGATCGTGTACTTTGAACTTGCTATCCATTTTGCAAATGTTCTCTCTATTATTAATGAATGTCGATTTATTTAATTATTAATTAGACTTCTTCACCTTATCAAATGAAACAAAAACTATATTAACTCTAATATTAAGTCTCATGGGGTTTTGGGGTTTTGGGG